CAGGAAGTCCCATTCGGCCCCAAGAAGTGCCAGGAGGCCCCCGGAAACACCAGCAGGCCCCAGGAGGCCCCAGGCAGGTCCAGGAGGCCCCAGGAGGCCCCAGGATGCACCAGGAAACACCAGGAAGCCCCCTGGCGCCCCAGGAAGCCCCAGGAGGCACCAGGAGGCCCTAGGAAGGCCCCCAGGAAGGCCGAGGAGGACCCAGGAGGAAGGCCCAGGAGGCCCCAGGAGGCCCCAGGAAGCCCCAGGAAGCCTCAGAAGCCCCAGGAATCCCAGGAGGCCCCAGGAGGCCCCAGGAGGCCCCAGGAGGCCCCAGGAAGCCCCAGGAGGCCCCAGGAAGCCCCAGGAGGCCACAGGAATCCCCCAGGAGGAGGAGGAGGAGGAGGAGGAGGAGGAGGAGGAGGAAGACGACGATGGCGATGATCACCTCGTCGTTCCAGGGCCTCATCATCATCCTCCTCCTCCTCCTCCCGCTCCTGCCCCTCCTCATCATCATCAGTATCACCATCATCGTCATCATCATCATCAAATGCAGTATTTACAATTGCTTATGGTTGGGTTCTTCGCCAGGCTAACTTTGGATCGTCGTCGTCGTGCCCCTTTCGGCCTACCCCCCTGTTGGCGTCCCCTTTGCGGCCCTGCTGAGGCCTTCTCGGCAGGGGGGCGCCGGTGCACGTCGTGAGACGTGGTGACTCCGTACTCTTCGAACCACATGGACTCTGGATTGCCCCTCTCCATGATGCCGATAAGTACCCAGGTGTGAAACACTCGGCGGCCCTCTTCAACCGTCTCCCACGAGCCGAACGAGGACTCGTCGTACTCCAGAGTGGTGGTGAGCGGCCCCTTCTTCCCGAAGATGATGCGCTCCTGCCTCCGGACAGCGTCCCAGGCGACCACTTCCCTCGCCACCCCGTACCAATCGCGCATCAAGTCCTCCGAGCGGCGCATCTGCAAGGCGGAACACGTCATGCTCACACCCTGCACGTAGTTCCAGAAAGCGCGCGACGCCTGGCTCATGAGGTCTCCGTGGGCGAACAGCGCGTGTCCGCCGAACACTGTGTAGGAGTGTCTGCAGTGCTCGCAGCGATAGATCGCGTCCCAGCGACCAACGTCTTCCACCTTCCCTGCCACCTGCTTGCGCACGCGCCACGGCCCGAGAATGCTCGGCTTGCCGATGCTGAAACGGCTGGGTTTCTCCTTGCATGTAGGGTCGGGGCACGGCTCGCCGCGCATGTCGTGCAGGAGGCTGCTGTCGAAGGCGAAGCGTACCCATCCACGAACAGTCATGCGCGCCAGCTCGTCGTAAGACACGGATCTGCGCGCCAGTGGCACCCTGCAACGCTTGGTCGGTTTGCCCTCGTAAAGCGGGGTCCTGTTCTGCAGCCACGTGTACTTCAAGTGAGCAACCGTGCGCCACAGACGTCTCTGCAGAGGGTCCACGCCGCCATCGGGCCGAACCACGGCTGCGTCTGCAGCCTCCTTTTGAAGGAGGGGGCAGGTCTTTATCTTGTGCCCAAACTTACCGCAGTGTCTGCAATGGGAGATAAGCGTCTTCGCCTGCGCCCTGTGCTCCCTCGTGCGCTTCCGCTTAGGAGCCGCCGTCGCATCAAAAGAAGACACCGCGGCGCCATCGGCCCCCACCTCCTGCGAGATGATCGCCATCTGCGTTTCTCGCAACTTCACCAACTCTCTGTGCACCGTCTCCCCGGCAGCGATCCGAGTTTCCTGCTCCTGGCTCTTGAGCACGATGGCCTCTTGCATGTCCGTCTTCTTGGCCGGCGCCTTGGCGGCAACCTCCTCCCAGAGGCCCTCGTCCCTGAACGCCTTTTCAAACATGGGGTACTTGTGATGTAGTTTGGACACGACGGCCCAAGCGAGGTAGTCCATCCCCTGCTTCTTGTCGTCCTCGGACCCGTGCTGCTTGTGGCCAAACCCTGTCGCCACCTCTGCCACCGTCTTTCTCCTGTGCTGCCCGAATTCGATGCGATACGGCTCAGGTTCAGCAGCGCGGCCAACGGCGCCCGCGTCGCGAGCGTGATCCTCGTGCTCTCGGAGGCGCTGTGCAAACGCTCGCGCGGCACCGCCCTGTCCGTCTCCCACAATCTGCGTGTACTCGTCTCTCACCTGCTGCTTTTCGCCGTCCGTGAGTTTTCTCATCGGGTGTTCGGTGCGGGACTTGTGCGCCCACCCTTCCTTCGAGATGCTGCCGCCAGCGCAAACCGTGCAGAATCACACCAGCCCTTTCGGGCGCACGTGGTCCAAGCAGATTCCTCTTCCAACCCCCTTTTTTCCCGTCGGGGGGTCAAGGTCGGTCTGGCGGCCCCAGCGGTTTTTGGCCGCCGCACTTGGACGTCTCTGAAAACCAGCGGGCCCGGAGCTCTGAACGCCAAAAATGCCCAGTGCTTCTGGAGACACGGTCGTCGTCATCCATCATACGCGCGGTTCGGCTGCTATTTCTGCTACTCCACTGGGCGTCGTTTCTGGATGGGCTTGTGGGGATGCGCGAAGCGTCATGAATTTGTAAACCCTGAAACGTCGTTTGAGCTCCTTCTGTTGGTCTTCGGTCATCTCAACAGCGTCGGCGCCAGCCTCGGCGCCAGCGTCGGCGCCAGCCTCGGCGCCAGCCGCCGCCGCCAAAGCGGCCGCCGCCTCAGCACGGCGGCCGCCAGCGTCGGCGCCAGCCTCGGCGCCAGCCGCCGCCGCCAAAGCCGCCGCCGCCGCCGCACGGCGGCCGCCGCCGCTCTCGGCTCCAGCGTCGGCGTCAAGCGCCGCCGGCGCCGCAGCACGGCGTCCGCGATCTCCGCTCCCGCGGCAGCCTCCGCTCCCGCGGCCGCGCGCTTGCCCGCGGCGTCCACCGCGGGCCGCTGGCGCCTGGGGCTGGGGCGCCTGTGGGGCTCGAGGCTGGGACGCCTGGATTGGATCCTGGGTCAGTTCTGGCGGCCTGTCATCCCAGCTCTCTGCCTGGGGGAGGCCCGCGCCGTTCCTCGGCATGCCCCCGACCAGGCCGAGGTTGAGGTGCAATGTCGAGTGGTTCTGAATGTTGGAATCCGACAGCGTGCGCCCAGCTGCAAGCTGCTTGCCGGCGAAGATCAAGCGTTGCGTGGCGGAAGGGATGTCCTCCTTATCCTGGATCATCGCTTTGACGCTATCGATGGTGCCGCTGGCTCGCACGCTCAGGGTGATAGTTTTCCCCGTCACCGTCTTCACGAAAATCTGCATGACCTCACCAGCGGCAGCGTCGAAGTCACCCGTCGCATCGGCGGTGCCAGCGGAGGCGGTGCCAGCGGACTGGTCCAGGGACAGCTCCGCGTCCTCGTGAGGACAACGACGACGACGAGACGGAGGAGGAGGAACAGGAGGAGAAACAGGAGGAGGAGGAAGTAGGAGGAGGTAACGGGAGGAGGCAGGATGAGGAGGAGGAGGAGGAGGACGGATGAGGAGGAGGAGGTAGGAGGAGGTAGGAGGAGGTCGGAGGAAGAGGTAGGAAGAGGTAGGAGGAGGAGGAGGAGGAGGAGGAGGAGGAGGAGGGATGAGGAGGAAGAGGAGGTAGGAGGATGTAGGAGGAGGTCGGAGGAAGAGGTAGGACGAGGTAGGAGGTCGGAGGAAGTCGGAGGAAGAGGCACGAGGATGGAAACAAGAGGGAGGGAGGAGAGCAAGGAACAAGAGGGAGGGAAGACGAGAAGGAAAAGAAGCAGGATGAGGAGGAGGAGACGGACGATGAGGAAAAGGAGGAGGAGGAGGAGGAGCAAGAATGATGATGAGGAGGAGGAGGACGAACATTGGTGGAGGGGAGGAGAGTGAGAAGGAGGAGGGGGAGGAGGAGGAGGAGGAGCCACAAAAACAGATGATGAAAAGGGGAGGGTGAGGGAAGGATTGGGGAGGAAGCGGGGGAAGCGAGAGGAGGTAGGGGGAGGTATGTGAGGAGGAGGTGGGGGGAGGTAGGGGGAGGTAGGGGGAGGAGGATGAGGATGAGGAGGCGGAGGCTGAGGATGTCACAGCCTCAGCCTCAGCCTGCAGCCTAGAGTAAGGAAGCGCTGCAAGGACGCAAGGCCCTTGGGCGGTCCTTGGACGCCCCAGTTCAAACCTTTAAAGCGGCGCACTGCCATCTCAGCGACTGCCAGACGCTCATCGACGCAAAACGACGCCAAAGACGGAATTGAGAGTGACTACCTACCCGACCACCCCAACCTAACCCGAAGACCCAAGTTTCGGGTTTAGGGGGTTACAGGTTCCACATGTAGTTTTGTCCATATTCCCCGACCCCCCTCCACTGGAACTCGGGGGTAAATTTGGGGGTTGGGTTGGGGTGGCTTGGTTGGTGGTGAGAGAGGGCATACAAGACTCCCATGACTTGTTGCCGAACGCACCTGCTTGAACAGAAATGCCGCCAGCGCACCGCCCACAAACTCGAAAGCGGCGTACACGGGGAAGTAGCTCAGGCTGCCGGGGCTGTGGTTGCCGCCAGCGTAGACGCCGAACGCCACGGCGGGGTTGAAGCAGCCCCCGGAGACAGCGCCCGCCCCGAACGCGCCCGCCACGATCACGAGGCCGATCGAGAGGCCGTAGAACTGAGAGCTCGCGTTCGCCGCGGCGCAGGCAGTATTGAGAACGACAAAGCAGAGCATGAACGTGTACACGAGCTCACACACGCCTGCCTGCCACCACTCGAAGCCATCCGCGGGCCCGAGGGCGAGGGCAAACTCCGAGCTCTTGAAGATCGCGCGGGCGAGGATGCCCGCCAGCGCGCCCGCCAACGTCTGCACCAACGAGTAGAGGAAGACGTCAGCCCAGGGCAACTTGCCGACGAGGCCGAGCGTGACAGACACAGCGGGGTTGAAGTTCGCTCCAGAAACTTTTGCCAGGGCGTAGATGCCGACCATGAGGGAGAAACCGATCGAACTGCCCGCCGCTGCCGTGCCGCTGAGGACGTTGCAGCCGAGGGTAAACATCAGAAGGAAGGTGCCCACGAACTCGCCGACGAGCGCCCTTTTGCGAGCCATTGCGATTCCGATGGACGTGCCAAGTGGGAACTGCTGGAACGGGTTGCAGAGCAACTAATGGTGCTCGAATTGTGCGACATGTTTTCGCAACGACAAAGATCTTGAATCGAAATGGTTACGGAACGGCTCTTTGGTGTTATTGGAACCGTCGGGCGGTTTGCGCATATGCACATTCAATCCAAAGCGAGCGGAACCTTCCGTGATATCCGAAAGACATGTGTTGCAACAATTAATTGGGGGTCCCAACGCGGTGCGGTGACAGATCGTGTGTGTGTGTGTGTGTGTGCGTGTGTGTGTGATTCTCAGCCTGGAGGCGGAATCTCTGGGAATCCTAGGAATCTCTGGGAATCCTAGGAACCTCTGGGAATCCTAGGAATCTCTGGGAATCCTAAGAATCTCTGGGAACCTTAGGAATCTTTGGGAATCCTAAGAATCTCTCGGAATCCTAAGAATCTGTGGGAATCCAAGAAACCTTTAAGAATCCTAAGAAACTCTGGGAGTCCTACGAACCTCCTTGGGAATCCCAGGAATCTGTTGGAATCCTAGGAACCCTTCGGAATCCTAGGAATCTGTGGGAATCCAAGAAACCTCTAGGAATCCTATGAATCTCTGGGAGTCCTAAGAACCTTTGGGAATCCTAAGATTCTCTGGGAATCCTACGACTCTCTCGGAATCCTTGGAATCATTAAGAATCCTAAGAATCTCTGGGAATCCTAAGAATCTCCGGGAATCCTAGGAATCTCTAGGAATCCTAAGGATCTCTAGGAAACCTACGGATCTTTCGGGATCCCAGGAATCTCTGGGAATCCTAAGAATATGTTGGAATCCTAGGAACCCATCCGAATCATAAAAATCGCTGGGAGTGCTAAGAATCTGTTGGAATCCTAAGGATCTCTGGGAATCCTAGGAATCTCTGGGAATCCTACGAGTCTCTGGGGATCCTAAGAATCTATGGGAATCCTAGCAATCTCTAGGCATCCTCTGAATCTCTGGGGATTCTGGGATTCATTCGGAATCCTACGAATCTCTGGTGATCCTGTGAATCTTTTGGAATACTAAGAATCTCTGGGGACCCCAGGAATCTCTGGGAATCCTAGGACACTCTGGGAACCCTAGGAATCCCTAGGAATCCTGCGAATCTCTGGGAATCCCATGAATCTGTTGGAAGCCTTTGAATCTCTTGGAATCCTAAGAATATTAAGAGATTCTAAGAATCTCTGACATTCTTACGAATCTCTAGGCATCCATTGAAATCTTTGGGATTCTTGAAAATCTCTGGTGATCCTACGAACCTCTTGGAATCCTACGAATCTCTGATCCAAGGAATCTCTGGGAATCCTAAGGGTCTCCGGGCATCCTAAGAATCTCTGGGAATCCTCAGAACCTTTGGGATTCCGAGGAATCTCTGGGAATCCTACGCATCTCTGGAAATCCTAAGAATCTCTGGAATCGTAGGAATCTCTAGGAATCCGAGGAATCTTTGGGAATCAGAAGAACCTCTGCGAATCCTAGGAATCTCTCGGGATCCTAGGAATCTCTGGAAATTTCTAAAAATCTCTGAAATCATAAGAATCTCTAGGAACCCTAGAATCTCTAAGAATCCAAAGCATCTCTGGGAATCCCACGAATCTCTGGGAATCCTAGGAATCTCTCGGAATCCTACAAACCTCTGGGAATCCTAGGGATCTTAAAGAATCCTAGGAATCTATGGGAATCCTAGGAATCTCTGGGAATCCTGAGAATCTCCAAGAATCTTAAGAATCACTGGGAATCATCGGAATCTCTAGGAATCCTAGGAATCTTTGGGAATCCCAGGAATCTTTGGGAATCATAAGAATCTCTAGGAACCCTAGGAATATGTAAGAGTCCAAAAAACTTCTAGGAATCCTAGGAATCTCTGGGAATCGTATGGGTCTCTGGAAATAATAGGAATCTATGGAATCCTAAGACTCTCTCGGGTTCGTAGGAATCTCTAGGAATCCGAAAAATCTATGGGAATCCTAAGAATCTGTCGGAACCCTATGGATCTCTAGGAATGATGCCTTCGGTTGCGCCCCCTGTGGGGCCACGAACCGTGTGAGGGGTGCGCCGAAATAGACCCGAATCCTTCGGTTGCGCCCCCTGTGGGGCCGCGAAAGCCTTCGGCTGCGCCCCCTGTGGGGCCACGAACCGTGCGTGTGAGGGGCGCGCCGAGATGGGCCCCAAGTCTTCGGCTCCGCCCCCTGTGGGGCAGCGAAAGCCTTCGGTTGCGCCCCGTGTGGGGCCACGAACCGTTTGGGGGGTGCGCCGAAATCGGCCCGAAGCCTTCGGTTGCGCGCCCTGTGGGGCCACGAACCGTGTGAGGGGTGCGCCGCAATGGACCCGAGGCCGTCGGCTGCGCCCCATGTGGGGGCGCGAAAGCCTTCGGTTGCGCCCCGTGTGGGGCCACGAACCGTGTGAGGGGTGCGCCGAAATGGACCCGAAGCCTTCGGTTGCGCCCACTGTGGGGACACGAACCGTGTGAGGGGTGCGCCGAAATGGACCCGAGACCTTCGGTTGCGCTCCCTGTGGGGCCGCGAAAGCCTTCGGTTGCGCCCCCTGTGGGGCCACGAACCGTGTGAGGGGTGCCCCGAAATAGGCCCGAAGCATGTGGTTGCGCCCCCTGTGTGGCCACGAACCGTGTGAGGGGTGCGCCGAAATGGACCCGAAGCCTTCGGTTGCGCCCACTGTGGGGCCGCGAAAACCTTCGGCTGCGCCCCCTGTGGGGCCACGAACCGTGTGAGGGGTGCGCCGAAATTGGCCCGAAGCTTTCGGCTGCGCCCCCTGTGGGGCTGCGAAAAGCTTCGGCTGCGCCCCTTGTGGGGCCACGAACCGTGTGAGGGGTGCGCCGAAATGGACCCGAGACCTTCGGTTGCGCTCCGTGTAAGGCCACGAACCGTGTGAGGGGTGCGCCGAAATGGGCCCGAGGCCTTCGGTTGCCCCCCCTGTGGGGCAACGAAAGCCTTCGGTGGCGCCCCGTGTGGGGCCACGAACCGTGTGAGGGGTGCGCCGCAATGGACGCGAGGCCTTCGGCTGCGCCCCCTGTGGGGCAGCGAAAGCCTTCGGTTGCGCCCCGTGTGAGGCCACGAACCGCGTGAGGGGTGCGCCGAAATGAGCCCGAAGCCTTCGGTTTCGCCCCCTGTGGGGCAACGAATCGTTTGAGGGGTACGCCGAAATGGACCCGAGACTTTCGGTTGCGCCCCCCTGGGGCCGCGAAAGCCTTCGGTTGCGCCCCCTGTGGGGCCACGAACCGTGTGAGGGGTGCGCCAACATGGACCCGAAGCCTTCGGTTGCGCCCCCTGTGGGGACACGAACCGTGTGAGGGGTGCGCCGAACTGGGCCCGAAGCCTTCGGTTGCGCCCCCTGTGGGGCCGCGAAAGCCTTCGGTTGCGCACCGTGTGGGGCCACGAACCGTGTGAGGGGTGCGCCGAAATGGACCGCGAAAGCCTTCGGTTGCGCCCCCTGTGGGGCCACGAACCGTGTGAGGGGTGCGCCGGAATGGGCCCGAAGCCTTCGGTTGCGCCCCCTGTGGGGCCACGAACCGTGTGAGGGGTGCGCCGAAATGGACCCGAGGCCTTCGGTTGCACCCCCTGTGGGGCCGCGAAAGCCTTCGGTTGCGCCCCGTGTGGGGCCACGAACCGTGTGAGGGGTGCGCCGAAATGGACCCGAAACCTTCGGTTGCGCCCCCTGTGGGGCCACGATGTGTGAGGAGTGCACCGAAATGAACTCGAGACTTTCGGCTGCGCCCCTTGTGGGGCCGCGAAAGCCTTCGGTTGCGCCCTGTAAGCGGCCACGAACCGTGTGAGGGGCGCCGAAATGGGCCCGAAGTCTTCGGCTGCGCCCCCTTGTCGGGCCACGAACCGTGCAAGGGGTGCGCCGAAATGGACCCGATGCCTTCGGTTGCGCTTGCTGTGCGGCCACGAACCGTGTGAGGGGTGCGCCGAAATGGACCCGAGGGTTTCGGTTGCGCCCCCTGTGGGGCCCGAGGCCTTCGGTTCCGCCCCTTGTGCGGCCACGAACCGTTTGAGGGGTGCGCCGAAATGGGCCCGAGGCCTTCGGTTCCGCCCCTTGTGCGGCCACGAGCCGTTTGAGGGGCGCGCAAAAATCGACCCGAAGCCTTCGGTTGCGCCCTTTGTGGGGCGCCGAACCGTGTGAGGGGTGCGCCGAAATGGGTCCGAAGTCTTCGGTTGCGCCCCCTGTAAGGCCACGAACCGTGTGAGGGGCGCGCCGAAATGGACCCGAGACCTTCGGTTGCGCCCCCTGCAAGGCCACGAACCGTGTGAGGGGTGCGCCGAAATGGGCCCGAGGCCTTCGGTTGCGCCCCCTGTGGAGCCACGAACCGTGTGAGGGGTGCACCGAAATGGGCCCGAAGCTTTCGGTTGCGCCCCCTGTGGGGCCGCGAAAGCCTTCGGCTGCGCCCCCTGTGGGGCCACGAACCGTGTGAGGGGTGCGCCGAAATGGACCCGAGACCTTCGGTTGCGGGCTTGTGGGGCCACGAACCGTGTGAGGGGTGCGCCGAAATGGACCGCGAAAGCCTTCGGTTGCGCCCCCTGTGGGGCCGCGAAAACCTTCGGCTGCGCCCCCTGTGGGGCCACGAACCGTGTGAGGGGTGCGCCGAAATTGGCCCGAAGCTTTCGGCTGCGCCCCCTGTGGGGCTGCGAAAAGCTTCGGCTGCGCCCCTTGTGGGGCCACGAACCGTGTGAGGGGTGCGCCGAAATGGACCCGAGACCTTCGGTTGCGCTCCGTGTAAGGCCACGAACCGTGTGAGGGGTGCGCCGAAATGGGCCCGAGGCCTTCGGTTGCCCCCCCTGTGGGGCAACGAAAGCCTTCGGTTGCGCCCCCTGTGGGGCCACGAACCGTGTGAGGGGTGCGCCGAAATTGGCCCGAAGCTTTCGGCTGCGCCCCCTGTGGGGCCGCGAAAACCTTCGGCTGCGCCCCCTGTGGGGCCACGAACCGTGTGAGGGGTGCGCCGAAATGGACCC